TCACTATACTAAAGCATGCGTCCATCTTGTCCAAATTGAAAATTTTTCTCCATATCATAATTATTATTACAAAATTGATAGAACATGCATCTTAATAAACTATTTTATTAGTGGGAATGATATAAGCCCTACTCTGAGACATCTATGTTAATTTTGTGTTGTTTAAGTTTAAGCATACAATTCAGATGTCCCTTATTATAGAAGATAGCTCAACATAAAATTTTCCTTTACATATATACAGTGCTGCACCACCTGAACAATAAATTTCAAGCTTTTGTCTCCTCTTGTTTGAGCAACCAATCTGAAGATGTCCAGTCCATCAATGGAAGACCTTGTCTTCCTTGCACAGAATTATTATGATATCATCATTGTTGCTGTGCTTTCTATAGGAATAACAATTTGTCTATCCAAATCCTGGAGAAGAACCTCATCTGATAAGGTTGACATCCCTGGCCGACTGGGCCTACCTTTCCTAGGTGAAACCTTCTCTTTTCTTTTGGCCACTAACAGCACAAGAGGGTGCTATGATTTTGTTAGACTCCGACGACAATGGTTAGTGATTTTTTCCAGCACTTCACCCTCTATAGTTCCTGGTTTATCACACAGGGTATCTAACCCCCTATATGTTTCTTTCTCGTCAATCATGATGTTCTGCTTTCTAAGTTTGGTTGCATGGATCTTAACTGCCTCCACTTCTGAGACAACATACTGGAACTAATGAAAGAAAATTATATGATGCTAAAATTGTCAGTGCATCACTAGGCTGATTGAGTCTGGTCTATTTGTTTAACTATTGAAACAAGATATGGATGAAGTTAAACTTCACCATGTTTGAACTTATTTAATCTATTCAACTCTTTTGGCTTAAAGATTACTTAAGCCTTACCAGATGAAGCAGAAAAGTTATTTTAGGCATTTATCAAGGTAAAGTTTGACACCAAATTCTAGATCAAAGTTAAACACCATTAATTTTTTTCCCACAGCACATGTAAAAGAATTCAATTTATCATTGTCTAGCAATAGAAGTATATAGAACATTTAAGTTTTAAAATTCTTGTGAAAGCAGGTATGGAAAGTGGTTCAAAACAAGGATATTTGGGCAGATCCATGTGTTTCTATCAAGCACCGAGGGTGCAAGAACGATCTTTACAAATGATTTTGTTCATTTCAACAAGGGATATGTGAAACCAATGGAAAAGGCCATAGGAGAGAAGAGCGTGCTATATGTACCACAGGAGAGCCACAAAAGAATTAGGCGTCTTCTCTCTGATCCTTTCTCCATGGATTCTTTATCTACATTTGTAAGAAAAATTGACAAAATGCTGATTCAAAGGCTAAATAAACTAGAAGAAAGTGGGAAAAGCTTTTCTGTGCTTGACTTTGGCATGAAGGTAATAAGTATGATGAGTCAACAACAATGTATCATGTCATAGATTACCAGTTTGGTACCCCCAGACAAATAATAGTGCTACCTACATTTCTGCTGAGTTCCTAAACTATCTGAAAATGTTGTTTTGCAGATGAACTTTGATGCAATGTGCAACATGCTGATGAGTGTTACTGATGATTCCTTGCTACAACAGATTGAAAAGGACTGCATTGATGTTGAAAAGTCCATGTTAGCCTTTCCTGTAATGTTTCCGGGCACCAGATACTACAAAGGCATGAAGGTAAGACAAACAGCATCGAGAAAGTACACAGGGTTTGCAATGACCTGGTCCTGATGCTGAAATAGTAAAAGCTGGTAGAAAAATTTAAACGAGACAAGCTTGTTTTAATCTCTCACCATGTTGATTTTATTCTTCCAAGTCGAAGCTGTTTATGCTAACGTGAATAGTCTATACAGGCACGCAAAAGGCTCATGGGAACCTTTAGAGAGATGATTGCCAGAAGACGGAACGGAATGGAATCCTCTGAGGACTTCCTACAGTCCATGTTACAGAGAGATTCATATCCACCTAATGAAAAGCTTGATGATTTCGAGATCATAGATAACCTTATAACAATGTTGATTGCAGGGAAGAGCACCACCGCGACTGCTATTATGTGGTGTGTCAAGTTCCTGGATGAAAACAGAGAAGCCCAAGACAGGCTTAGGGTGAGACTTGTATCTCACTGTGCAAATGTGATTAGAACAGAACTTTTAATCCATGAAGTATTTGGAGCAAAATAAGAAATCATTAAATAAATATTCAATCAAAGATTTCAGCCATTAGTAAATAAATTTCTAAATGGAAGTTTAGGGTAGGGCAAGAGGCACATAAAGGTGAAGTAAACCAAAAGACTTATTCATTTAAACATTGTTCCGGTTTACAGGAAGAACAACTTGCAATAGCCAGAAAGAAGCCAGAAGGAACTTCACTTATCCTGGGAGATCTTAACAGCATGCCATATGGCTTAAAGGTGAGAAACAAACAGAGCAGTCCCCCTTGGCTCTTTCCTTTGACTGCATGTGTGGAATTAGCATCATTATTTTACTTCTTGCAATTCTCCAGGTCATAAAAGAAACGCTGAGAATGTCAAATGTTGTGTTGTGGTTGCCCCGTGTTGCACTCCATGACTGCACAATTGATGGCAAGTCTAAATTTAAAACAACTTACTTTTGATGTTATTACCTTTCTATTATCACATTTATCCGTTGCAGGCTTTGAGATAAAGAAAGGGTGGCTTGTAAACATTGATTTAACCAGTATTCACTATGACCCTAATTTATACAAGGATCCTATGCAGTTCAACCCTACTAGATTTGATGTAATAAGCTCTACTTTCCATATTGATTTTGTTTCCCTTGTTTAGAATTCCAATAATATATCTGTAATTTTATGTTCCAGGAAACACAAAAGCTATATGGTTTCATCCCATTTGGATCAGGACCTAGGACATGCTTGGGGATGAATATGGCAAAAGTGACAATGTTGGTCTTTTTACATCGATTGACAACAGGATACAAGTGAGTTATTTATCACTCTCTACATCCCCTTTTTTCTCTGCCCCTTCTTACTGAATTATTCTATGACGTGATAAGATTTTAACCTTGAAATTCTTGTGTAGATGGACTGTTGACGATCTTGATCCTTCCCTAGAAAAGAAATCACTTATCCCTCGTCTCCGAAGTGGTTGCCCCATTACCCTGAAGGCCTTGAACAGGGAAAAATAAGCTTGGATGACCTAAGAGTGATTATTTCTTCATGTTAAGCATCTTCAGTGCTTGGAAGGCAAAGAACAGAAACAAGTGAAACTCTACCTAAATAAAAAAAGGGCATGCCTTGGCTGTGAAGAAACAGTTTCACCTAGCTTATGCATGAGATTGATTGCTTATTAAGTACATTGTGGGATACTTAATAGTTTTAATGGGAAAGAAGGACTAAAAAGAAAACATAAGCATCGATGATAATGTTTCTATATTGGTCATTATATCATGACTCGAGCTGTTTTGCTGTTTAAAAGAATAATAGCTTGCATATCATTAAGACTAGTATTTTCTACTTCTTAACAATGCCATTTGCCTGCTACTTCACACACTACCAGAATTTCCTACTTCACATTGAATAGAGCCTTTATTTCTGTTCGAAGGTTTGTCACTACAGTTGGAATCTAAAGTGTCATTCAGCACTTTCATTGTGTTGAATGGACATTTCAACTCTAGCCACTATGTTCAGCATTTTTGGCTTGTGAGTTTGTGGGTTTGTTGAGATTATAGAAAATTTCCAAGTGTATTGTCAATGTGACCTGTTACCATATAAATGGCCTTTCATTATCCTTATTTACTTTAACAACTTGTTGTACTGCAGATGACAGGTTCATTGGTATAATTGAGGTCTTTGAGTTGAAAGTACCATTTCATTATTATATCACTATATGGTTCGATCATTACTCAATTATAGTGAAATCTTCTCACCCTGTCTTTGTCATTTGAGGTAAGCCAACGTTAAACAGCTGAAGTTGTCTGCTGAACTTGCTTTGTTCTTGCCGTCAGACCAAGTCTACAGGACCAACAGGTCAACATTCTCCTTAAATCTAAAGACAAAAGCTATAACTCATCCTTAAAGCTTATTAAATGAGTTTCCTATAGTTTAAATGTCTGCTATTGTAAACAAATTGACATTTTTTGTCAATCATGAGGTTATCATCAGTTTATTATAGAAGAATCAGTTGAAAATCCTTGAACATGGAAACTAGTAGTCTTTCCACTTCCATGAAGCAAAACAGCCATTCCTGTATACCTAACTCTTGCAAACATCTATGGTAAAAAAAAAAAAAAAAACCTCTTGCATACATCTTTACACTTCCAATCATCAAATTTCTCCAATTTTGTTGACAAAACATGTTTGATTTTCTCAGTCTCAGACTCCCAGTAGTTTTTTCACCTTTCAGTGGAATAGGGCAACAATTACAACATGACATTCTCCTGTTAAAGGGATCTTCTCAGGACTACCAAAAGCATAAATTGAACTTGGCCTTTTTCAACTTTTTCTCCACATCATAATCCGTAATATTACCAATAAAAAAAAAAAAGGAAGAAAGAATTGAAAGATCACCTTAATCTACCATTTTATTAAGGCTAATGATATAAGCTCCACTCCTAGTTCTGGCGATGAAGATTGTCTTTGGCTTATGACTTATGTGAAATTTTCCTGTTTATGTCTTAGCACCCACCGTAGAATTAAAAATATGTATGCAACAGCATATATGACCAGCTCATACATGAGGAATCTCCGATTCACTATATACTAAAGGATGCCTTCAGCTTGTCCAATTTCAACTTTTAGTCCACATCATATTTATATAGAATAATAAATATTGAAAGATAATCTGTATCTACTGTCTTTACTTTGTGTGAATCTTGCCGGGATTAAGTCTAAGCATCCAGCCTAAGATTCTCCTCACTGCAAAGCATCATAAGCATTTGTCTTGTTAAGAACTCATTTCTTTCTATTTTATCAGCACAATGCACCATTTGAACCATACGACACAAGTTTTGTTGTTTCTCGAAGCTGAAAATGTTGAATCTATCGAAAGAAGGGCTTACCTTGCTTGTACAGAACCATTATGGTATTGTCATAGTTGCAATGCTTTCAATAGGAATAGCATCTCTTCTATGGAAAGTTTGGGAAAGTACTGTCTCAACCGATGAAGATGGTATTCCTGGCCAATTGGGTTTACCTTTTTTTGGTGAAACCTTCTCTTTCTTTTCGGCTTCTTACAGCACAAAAGGATGCTATGATTTTGTTAGGCAACGAAGAAAACGGTTTGTGATCTTAACTTCTTCATCTTCATCCTACATACCTTTTAGTGCATACAATTATCTATTATTCCATGGATCTTGCCTACAAATTTTCTTCTTGAGGAAACATACTATATTTCATACAAAGAAAATTCATAAAAATTTTGTTCGCATCAGATACGGATGAAGACATGAGATAATGATAACTAGCCCATTGGTCTCACAATTGAAACAAGACATGACTGAATTCAACCCGTTATCGAATTTGATCTAATTTAATCCGATTTCACTCTTAGACTCAGATTTTAACCCTATACAAACTGAATGCAACACTAAATTCTGAACAGATTTCTTCACCAAATTCTGAATAACTTTTTTTTTTGCTTCTGTAGTATTTTTACTATTTTATGAGATTTGGAATTGTCCTGTGCTAACAATAGAATACATGATTGACAAACCCGAATGAAAACAGGTATGGGAAGTGGTTCAAAACAAGGATACTCGGCAAGACTCATGTGTTTGTTCCAAGCATTGAGGGGGCAAAAACGATTTTAGCTAACGATTTTGTTCATTTCAACAAATCATATGTGAAATCAATGGCAGATGCAACTGGAGAGATGAGCGTGTTTTCTGTACCACATAAGATCCACACAAGAATAAGACGCCTTCTCTCTGATCCTTTTTCCATGAGTTCTTTATCCAAGTTCGTAGGAAAATTTGACAAGATGCTGTGTGAAAGGCTGGATAAACTCGAAAAAAGTGGGGAAAGCTTTAGAGTCATTGACTTCAGCTTGAAGGTAATAAAATTGTTTAGCTGTGTTTCATGGATGGTGTGATTGGGTCCACAAATATGTATATGTCAAGGAAAGAAATGGTAATATTGCTAGCTGTTTGCAGTTGAGTAACTAACCTCTCAATTCTATCTTGCAGATAACTTTTGATGCAATAGTGAACATGCTAATGAGTGTTACAGAGAATCCCTTGCTAGAACAGATTGAAAAAGACTGCACCGATGTTTCCAATTCCATGTTATCCATTCCCCTCATGATTCCTGGCACCAGATACTACAAAGGCATGAAGGTAAGATATATGACACCAAAGAGAAGGTTGCAGTTGCTAGCCTGGTTCTGAGACAGGCCTGACCTGAGAAGATGGCAAGAAATTGAACTGATAGTAATGAAATAAAACAGCTTCTTGTTGTGAATTTAACTGAGAATAGGACATAAAGAAAGGATAAAAAAGTTCCTTGCAATGAGCAGCCTTTTCATTATCTCTATGTGGCTTTTAATCTCTAAATTCCAAGCTATTGTTGCTAAATATAAAGAGTTTATACAGGGACGCGTAAAGCTCAATGAAATCTTTGGCAATATGATTGTCAGAAGACGGAGTGGAGAGGAGTATTTCGATGATTTTCTGCAGTCCATGGTAGAAAGAGATTCGTATTCTGCAGATGAAAAGCTTGACGATCAAGAGATGATAGATAACCTAATAACACTGATACTTGCAGGGCAGACCACCACCGCATCTGCTATGATGTGGTGTGTCAAGTTCCTAGATGATAACAAAGAACTCCTTGACAGGCTTAGGGTGAGATTTTTCATTGACACTATGCAAACATGTATAGAACTGAACCTTTAGTTCAGAGAGCAGTTGGAACAAACCCAAAAATCATTATACAATAATCCATATGATTTCAATCATTGGTTACCAAATTCCTAAATGGACAATCTAGAAATAAGAGGCAAGTTCAAATTTATTGCTGAAGTAACGAAAGAACTTCTTTTCTTCTTTTAAAATATTTTTTTCCAATCTGCAGGAAGAACAATTGTCAATAGCCAGAAATAAACCAGAAGGAGCCTCACTCACCCTTGAAGATCTTAATGATATGTCATATGGCTTCAAGGTTAGAATATATGAAGCAGTTCCTTTTCGCCCTCTTTTATCACTCCATGTATGGAATAGCCTCAACATTTTACTTCGTGCAATTCCAGGTTGTAAAAGAAACACTGAGAATGGCGAATGTCTTGATCTGGCTTCCCCGTGTTGCAATGAATGACTGCATAATTGATGGCAAGTCTCCCTTGTTGTTTATCTATTAATTGAACCTAACAAAGCAGCAGGATAAAAAAGTTTCAAGGCTGGGAAACTTATACCGTTCTTCTCCTTGTAGAATGATATGAGGCTATATCCTACTGCCTTCTTCAAAACAACCTCTATTAATCTATTGCTACCAATTATCACCCTTATATCCATGTGTTGCAGGCGTTGAGATAAAGAAAGGGTGGCTTGTAAACGTCGATGCAACCTGTGTACACTATGACCCTGATGTGTACAAGGACCCTAGGCGGTTCAACCCATCAAGATTTGACGTAATAAGCTAACTTGCAACATTGATTTTCTTTTCCTCTTTGCTGTTTGGAATTCCAACTGTTCCAACTATTCCAACTATTAGTCATGGAATTCTAACAGTATATTTATATTTCATCATGTTCCAGGAAATCCAGAAGCCCTACAGTTTCCTCCCTTTTGGAGCAGGACCAAGGACATGCTTAGGCATAAATATGGCAAAAGTGTTAATGTTGGTCTTTGTGCATAGACTGACTAGTGGATACAAGTAAGCTATTTTCAATCCTTTTATATATGAATCCTTTCTTATTTTATGGTATGTTGAAGATTAAACTTTGCAATTATTGTGTAGATGGAAACTTGATGATCCAGATAGTTCCCTAGAGAGGAAGGAACACATACCACGACTCAGAAGTGGTTGTCCGATAACCCTCAAGTTATTGAACATGGCAAAGTAAGCTGGGATTGTCTCTGAGAAGAGTCTTTCTCCATTGTGAAGGCGTACAAAGCGCCTGGCATTCATTAAAGGCTCAGATCAGATTAAATTAAATACGACTATATATAATTAAATAAAAGCACATGATCAAGAAAGTCATCTACCTAGTTAGCCGCATATATATCATGCATGAAAATAGGTTTCTCGTTAGATCCAATTAGGCACCTAATATCTTTGGTGAAATGAAAATCATAAGCATTATCCTGGTGATGATAAGATGGTTCTCAATGCTGCTGTATTAAAGAGTTATCTGCATATTAATAAAAAATAGTGTGGCAATTTTTAGCCCAATCCTCAAGACTCATGTAATTTTGGCATTTGCGTGATGCATATGTAATTTTTATCTTTAAAAATTTAATTCAATAAATAAATTTTGCGGACGATAATAATAATAAATAATAATAATAATAATAATAATAATAATAATAAATGTTAATCGATTGATTTTGATTTTGGTTTATATAAATAAATTTTGATAATTTTTAATATAATTTTAATTTTAATAGTCTTTGATATGTTTTGTTAATTTTTGTTAAAAGTTTCATAATATTTGATAAAATTTTAATAACTTTCAATATAATTTTAATAATCTTCTATATTAGTTTGATATCTTATTATATAAAATTTTTTCATAAAAGTACAATTAGGGCCGGAAGTGAAGTTTATGTTGATGTTTGAACCACAATTGATGAAATAATTGTGTGGAAAAGTGTATGCTGCAGAGGGCAGCAGATATGATAAGAAAATGACTAGAAAATAAAGAAGAATAGGTTCATGAAAATTTTCGTCTAGAATTATTTTTAGTATTACTATAATTTTTGCACTTAAATTTTTATTATATTGTGTTCTTATTTTATTTTGAAATTTATTATCGATATTATAAAAGTATAATTAAAAATAGTATGATTAATTAACTCAAATTTAAAATAGTTCAAAACTTGAATTAAGTATGAATAAAATTTTTACTTATTTTAAATTTAATTTAATTAAAAATTAATATAATATACAAAATTATAAAATGAACTAACTTGACTGAATTTTAATTAATTTAAAAAAATCAACAACTTATTGGCTATTTAAAACCCACAATGATTGAATATAATCAAAATTTAAATTGAAATAATAACACAATCAAAGTCTAAAATTTTTTGTTTATCTTCTAAACAATTTAAGAGTCCCTTATTTAAGTTTTTTTTTTTTCCTTCATGTTCAACATCCCATTTTTATTGTTTTTGTGGTAGAATTAATTAATTAATTTTTAAGAACATTTCTAAGTGAAATTATAATTGTAAATAATTGAATATAGTTCATTTTTATTTAGATTTAAGATTATTTGAATTTGGCTTTTTAAATAAAGAGAAACCTGTACCAACTATTGAGTCAAATTTACTTAGGTGCATAAGTGAATAATTGAGTATACTATGAATAGAAGTAAATAACAAAACTTGACTCAACCTAATTGATTCCTTATCTAAAATCTAAAACCCTACTTGAAATTATGAAAAGTTAAAATTCAAAATTATTAAAATACTAATTACATAATTAAATAAAGATTTATCAAATGAATTTTGCTAATACCCTTAAATCAATTTTAAGTTTAGTTAAATTATAATTTATAATAATATTTTGGCTAAATTATTACATAGGTACTTGTACTATTTCATTTTTTAAAATAAACTCGTATTCTTTATTATACCAAAATAAAGTCATATTCTTTTATTTGTATTCAAATAAACTCTTATTTCAAATCAAATATTTATTTATGTGAATGACAAATTTAGGTACAAATTAAAGATTAAAGACTTATTTTGATACAAATTAGAGCTCAATGGTTTATTTAACTGTAAATTAAAGGTTAAGAGTTTATTTTCATATGATAAAATTATAGGAGTTTATCTAAGTAAAATGATAAAATTCAAGAACTTTATTGTTGTTTTAGCCTAATATTTTTATATTAAATGCAATAGTGATAATTAATTTGACCAATTTCAATGCTTGTGAACAAATATTAGTTAATATAGTAACTTTAAAAATTTTAATATAACATTGAATATTACTTAATTGATATAATGGAGAAAATGAAAGAGTATACAATGTTTCTCCTAAAAAATAATTTCATATTAATCCTAAAAAGTTTGAAATCAATACATTTGTATATTTTTCATTGAAACATAATATAGCATTAATTTTGTTGTCATGTAAAGAAGATAGTGCTATGCATAAACAGTCAATCTTTTGTTTCATTTTTTGCTTGGCATAACCTTTCATTAGTATTTCCATTGATTGAATGTAATTATACATTCTACCAATTAAAATCTTATTTTTTATTTTATTTGAAAATTTTTATTATACAAAAATATTAAAATACATAATTTAAAAATTAAAATAAAATAAAATAAATTATTAACCTTAGTACTTCTCGTGTTTTTTTTTAAGGAAATTATAATTTTTAAAATAATAAACTTGTTAATTAACACCTATATGATTTATAATGACTTAATTTTTAATATTAACAATATAAATTTTCATGAATGAATATAATATTAGCTGTGGTCAAAAAATGTAACATTAATATAAACACATTCAAAATATGGTTCCAATGAATTTTGTCACATCTTACAAATATTCACAAAAAACAATTAATCTTACTTCATTTTATAATTCTTTGCCTAAATAATTCATGTTAGGGTTTTAAACCAACTAATGACAAATAAAAGCTAGCAATTTAATACAATTGAAAAAGACTAAATCATCTTGAGATAGAAATTAATTAAGGCAAACAATTCTTATGATTATTTGGTCTTGAGTTACTAATAACTCCATCACCTCCTGAATCATTTAATTCTATAGGTGAAAATCCAATTGAAATGTTTAAAATATTCAATGAATCATATAGTTCTAATTGTTGGTGGAAGGTGCGTGCAATTGATTTGCATTTGATTTGATATTAGTTTTATTCATAGAAATAATAATTATAAAATTCTAAAGGAAAATAAAAAGATAAATTAATTATAGAGGTTAGGTAAAGCTATAAGAATGATATATATATATATATATATTAAAAAATATTTCAAATGACTAAAAAGATTTAATTATATTATCAATGGTTAAATAATTTGTACAAAAAATAATCAAATAATCAACTCATAAAACATACAAACAATAATACGGTTAACAAACATATATGGTTAGCAAATCAATTAAAATAAAAAATTGAAAGGCAAAAAATAGAAAAAAAATGCATCAATGACTTGATTATGATTATCTTTGATGAATTTATTTATCAATATGAACTACATGTGCAATTGTTTTTACAACAATAAAAAAGACTCCATATATTGTCTTATTGCTATGCACATCAATAAGTTTCGATCTCATTCTATTTGCATTTTTATTTGATATAAAAATCATATTTTATGTCTTAGTATGAGTCTAATTTTTAAAAAATATTTAAATTAAAATTTATAAAAAAATTTCTAACTGTATTTTAATCAATTAATTTTAACATTTTTGAAATTAAAATTTTATTAAGAGTGTTTTAGTCAATCACTTTTAGTTGATGGCAAAAAAAGTTATTTTTAGCATTTTTTAGTCTAATTATAAAAACGAGTCTAATAATAAAAAAAAAGAAAATTTATCTAAATTAAATTTTATAAAAAATTTATTAAAGATATTTTAGTCAATCACTTTTAACAATTTTGGAACTAAAATTTTAAAATTTTAAGTAGATTAATTTACATAAAGTCTATTTTTAATTTTAGTTAATTTAAATTAAACTTAAATAAATTAATAAAATTTATATATATTTAAAAATAATTTTATTAATTTAAAATTTCATTAGAATATTTAGGTTTATAACTTTTAACAATTTTAAAGTTATATTTTTAAATATTATAAAATAATTATATTTACCTATATTGAAAGAAATAATAAATTCATTGTCAATATTATTAATTGGTTTCGATCTCAACGGTTTATATTAGTTAGAACTATATTACCATATGCCTAAAAAATCTCTTAAAGTTTTAATGATATAATTTAATAAAGAATTTAGCTAACTTTTGTTTTTTTTTTTTTCTAATTTTAAATGAAATAAATTTATAAAGTAGAAACAAATAACTTTACTAAGATTGTACACCAATTATTGAGAGAATCTACCTCTTGGAGAAGCAACCTAATAAGAAAAGTCTTTCCTTTGGCCCACGAGTTGAGTAGGGATTGCTTTCATATTATCCATGATGTTAGAAGGTAATTGAAAGGACAAGGGAAGATCACGATGATTATACAAAGCTCTAAGCATTATCTAATAGTGGTTTCATTCTTTCTAAGGTTGAAAAGGCCTTAAATGTAAGCACACAAGCTATCACCACTTAGCCAATTGTCAAACCAAAGGTTGATGGTGGAACCATCCCTTACAACCCAGCTAAAACCTTTTTTCACAATAGTTCCCACCCATTTCATTACTTTCCATATAACTGAGACTTTAAGGGGAGGTTTAGTTCGGGAAAATTCACACATTTTTTTCCAAAATCTTATTGTTGAGTATTTGATTCTAATGTTTAGTTTAAGGTAATTTAATTTCAAAAAAATTTGACAGATTCTCAACAGTACCCAAAGTTTCAGATCGAAAACTTATATCTCCCTATGTTATTCTAAGATTCCAAGCGAAAAGTAGTGTTATTTCTAAATTTGACCTAAATAAAAAATTATGAAATAACCGTTATCCTTTTGATTTTTTGAAAGTGATTATTTAAGGCGTTTTTGGACCATAAATGTCTTAAATAATACCTTTTGATTTTTTTAAGAAGATTATTTAATCCCTTATTTAAGGTTTTTTTTTACAAAAATACTTTAAATAATCTCCTTTAAAATGTATTAGCAAATTTTTTAAGGCATTTTTAGACTAAAAACACCTTAAATTATACCTTTCAATTTTTTTTATTTGGCTTATTTAAGGCGTTT